GCATTATTAAAGTGTAATTAAAACAACATTCACTTACAATTAATAGCTAAGTCAATTTAATTATTTAACATTTGATTGTCAGTTCTGGCTAGCCTCACTACCCTAGGGTGGGTATATTCTTTGGCCCTGTTGTAAAGTACAGTACAGTATACTACTCCCCTGTACTATAGATTCCTCTTAGTTTGGACAAGACCTGAGCAACAACCACAAAAATGGCAATACATTGTAATGGAACCTTTACCAGACAAGACACAGAACATTGGGACTATGTGAAATTCTGCGGTGTTGGAAAATTTGGGGTTCCTGCTACGTAAGTGTCAGATTAAAGCCACAAAACACAAAGTAGTCACCCAAAAGACCAAATTTTATCTGGCTCCCACCCAGAAACATAAATCCTTCCTTAGCAGTCATGTGAAGGAGATTCCATTGAAATTCAACTTGGATTTGTTCAAACACACAAGGAAACAATTTCAGATTCAAAACCAAACCCTAACCCAGAAGAGCTGGTTTTTGCATACTTCTAATCAGAATTGATTCCCCAATCCCACAACCTGTTCCATGCAGCCAAAACCTTGTGCCTACGAGGAATACCACTGATTTTGATGGGGCTTCCTGAAGTCACAGGGGTCGACTCATACAAAGCAGATTGTGGGATCAGGGTTTTATTCATCACATTTTTCTTTTTCTGTTCCCAGAACAGACTGTGGATTTTTTCAAAATTATTGAATTGCTTCTTTCTAATTTCACATACTCACTGGCTCACTAAATGAATTGTGTTGTTAGTTTTGATTGGTTCCATAAATCACATGGTATGTTTTTCGTTTCCTCATTGAATGATTGAGGGGAAAAAATAAACAAAGATCATATAATAAAACCATCATATAAGAAAAACATCCCTGGCAACAAGCAATATTCATATATTATTTGTCTAGATAACACTTAAGAGGGTGTTGTAAATTTGACTGTCCATTGTGAAATTTAAGGTGTTGAACCCATCTATCTGAGACCCACCTTCTTCCCCATGCAGAGCTCAAGTTGGAGCTCCTCTGATTAAAAAGAGGGGCAGTTGCTGACAGTGTAAACTTTACGCTTGCTTAGAAGAAGAAGAAGAAGAAGAAGAAGAAGAAGCCAGAATCTGTAGACCATTAGACAGAAAAGCCCATACTTGTCTTACGTTAGAATAAAGGCTCATGTTTGTTCAGAGGATGGGGTACAATTTGGAGTTCTGTTGACACTTGAATTTGATGTTTTCTGCATTTTTGGAGGTGATGAGAGTCTTCCAGTTTTCTTCTTGTTTGTCTGATTGTGGATTTAATGAATATCAAAAGAGTTAGAATCTTGAATAGGTGGTGGGGGGGTTTGGAGGTGGGGAGCTGAGGAGGGTTTTGTAATGTACATATTAAAAAAACAGAAAACATTGAATAAGATATGATGCATGCCTATAATTTTACCTCTGCATTGAGAAATTTCAAGAAAGAAGGGAGCGGCAAATGGTGGGACTTGGTAGAGTTTGCTGGTGGAAAAGATCCAGTGCTGCTGCTAATATTAGCTTTGTTTTCCAAAATAGTGATTTTATTTTCAACATAGAAGCTATTTCAGAGTAAGACTGACCACAGAGTAAATGCACATGTGTGGATATTGCTTCAGACTTTGGAGATGGATGCATCCTTGAAGTCTTTAAACCACGATTTGAGGACTTCAATAGCTCAGACATAGGTGAGAGGTTTTTCGCAGGAGTGGGTGGGAGAGATTCTGTGGCCTGCATTGTGCAGGAGGTCAGACTAGATGATCATAATGGTCCCTTCTGACCTTAATGCCTATGAGTCTATGAATCATCCCAAGAAGAGTGGTATATTTACAAATGGCAGAATCTATAGCATGTAAATGAAATCATTATTTTGATAACTGAATCTCATTTGGAGGTATGTTGGGGAATTTAGCTGAAGAGTTTGTTATGAAATATTACATTTAGTGATGGGGTCAAAGTCGTGAAATTCATATCAGAACTTTCCTGAAGATCAGAATGAGGATGGGTCAGGATCCAGGGTTCTGGATATGTAATCTCTAAAGACATTCAAAAACCCTAAAGCCAATTCTTTTTAAAAATACAGCTCTAAGGGTTGGAGCCTGTCAAGGAAGGACTAACGTGAACCATCAGAGTATCTGGAGTGGTAGGTGATGTGTGGGAGATACATTTTAAAGTAAAACCAAGGGATACCATGATCTATACACCATGCAAGAAGTTGGAAGTAGTAAACCCACTATTTTGCCCAAATTTAGCTTGTTTGCTTGCATTCAAATCCCTGGCAAATTGCTAGCCACCTCCCTAATCAGATGTTTTCATATATAGAACCAGGCAATTACTGAGCATTACTTTCTATATGGTTTATTTTCAGTATGAAAATGAACACTTTTATGAAATTCTGTATATCATCCTCTTATTTAAAGACAGTTGAACAGATAATGTTTTCCAGTTTTAAAATATGTTTCAGACATCATCCCCTTCAAATATCAACATATTCTTTAGAAAGTTACATGGAAAGCCTAGAAGTCTACAAACCATCAGTAATGTAATTACAACTGGCATTTATGAAAGTATATCGATCTCTATTTCTGTTTTTAGAAGTGCAAAAATCACATTAGAAAACTATGGGTAGCTAATTAAAGCTTTGTCACCCATAGGACCTAGGTGAATTGCATTTGTAGCATTCTCTGATATAGAAGAAATCTTATGAGAAAACTTTCAGAAAGTATGTGATCGCATGATTTGCTTTGCTATTGAAATCAAGGCATTGGATGTGGATTATATTACTATTATGTTTTTATCCTTAAACTAAGCTTGAAATGTCACAGGGGCTGAAATTAAAGCAGAAGCTGAGCAGGATACTGTTTGGTATTTACATATTAAACGCAATCAAAAGGCAGTGGTACAATTGATTTTTCTGATACAAACAGATTTAGAGTACTGATAAAAGCCACTCACTTGTTGAGCTTCAAACATCTAGATGATTTCTTCTCTGCATAATCAAACAAGGTTAGTCAAGCAGCTTATTTGCTTTAATACTATGGATATACAAGATATACATTTAAAGGGACACTATCAGGTTTTAATGCATTTAAAAACAAAAATTCTTCACCCTTGCTAAAAATACTTTAAAATTGAGATTTTAAACATTGAATTTAGTTTTTACTGTTCAAGATATTTGTTGCATTTCCCTCAACTGATGAAAAGAGACTGATCAGTAAGTTTCACTTTCCAGATTGCACAGACTAGAAGAAAGATTGCATTGTTTGAAGGAGAGTGGCAGCTTACATTTACAAAAGTGGTTTCTATTATTTACAAAAAGAAAAGGAGTACTTGTGGCACCTTAGAGACTAACCAATTTATTTGAGCATGAGCTTTCGTGAGCTACAGCTCACTTCATCGGATGCATACTGTGGAAACTGCAGAAGACATTATATACACAGAGACCATGAAACAATACCTCCTCCCACCCCACTCTCCTGCTGGTAATAGCTTATCTAAAGTGATCATCAGGTTGGGCCATTTCCAGCACAAATCCAGGTTTTCTCACCCTCCGCCCCCCCCCCCACACACACACACAAACTCACTCTCCAGCTGGTAATAGTCCATCCAAAGTGACCACTCTCTTTAAAATGTGTATGATAATCAAGGTGGGCCATTTCCAGCACAAATCCAGGTTTTCTCCCCCCCCTCACCCCCCTCCAAAAACCACACACACAAACTCACTCTCCTGCTGGTAATAGCTCATCCAAAGCGACCACTCTCCCTACAATGTGCATGATAATCAAGGTGGGCCATTTCCAGCACAAATACAGGTTTTCTCACCCCCCCCACCCCCATACACACACAAACTTTTAGCGAATTATTTACATAGCTTTTAAATAGAATTGAAACTTTTCTAATGTTTTAGGTCTCCTGAAAGCTGTTTTTTCCTTGAAAAACATTTTTTCCCCCATCAAATCTGACCTCACAGAGTCATCTATCCATTTGGTATGAGAAGGCAGTTTATTGCTGCAGGATTTTATTACTATGGCATTTCACTTTAAAATCAAAGTTTCTGTGATTTTACATGTTAAATATAAAAAACTGTACCTAGAAATTGTTTGGGCCTAGTGTATGCTCAGATGCAAATACCTTTTTGTCCTCACAGTTTCAATTTCCCAAAGCACAAGGATGCTAATTAGGGATAGGGAAATCCTCTCTTTTTGAAAGAGAATTCTCCTAGATCTTGCCAAATATATTGGAAATGACTCTAGACACCATCATTTGGTGTTCTGTATTGAGACCTTGCTTGTCAATATTCTGGGGTGCATGCTAAAGCTGTGTTTTGATGCCTTAAGAAATTCTTATCCTCTAGGTTTAGGGGATGACTTGGTAGTGAAAATATCATGTCAGCAGCTGCAATGTCTCATAGCAATGTCAATAAAATTTCACCAGGGCAGTTAATTCCTGCAATATTTCAAATTACTGTGAGTGGAGACAAACGGGGGGGGGGGGGGGATGAAGAAACAACAGGAAGAATGAAGACAGAGAGATACAGTAAAGGAAAGAGAAGGAAGTAGGACTGAGGAAGAAAAACACTTGGGGCAAGATGATGAAACTAAATGGGGAAATTGGAAAAAGAGTTGGGAAAACAGCAGCTGAAGAGAAGGGTGGAAAAAAAGGAAGAAAATATTTGACAGGAAAAAGTGGAGATGGTCGCAACACACACAAAAGAGGGAGCTAAAAATAGGGTTGAGAGAAGACAAGGCAGGGACACAGGGTAGAAACACAGGAGTTAGCAATATGAAGCGAAAATATCAGTTAAGAGAAGTGGGAGAATTAGACTGAAGGAAAGGTAAATTAAATGCAGAAATCCATAATAAAGGGAGACAAAAACCTCAATCAAGCTGCACAGACTATACAAAAAATTAACTCTGGTGAGGTCTGTGGAAAGCCAGAAGAACACAAGGAAAGGAGTGCATACATTCTTTACCTTATGAAGCAGGGATACAGATGAGCAGAGCCTCTATTTATAGCAAACCCAATAAATAAAGCAAACATCCAGCCTAAAGGACCTGGAAGGAGAAGAGGGACATTACAGAGCCATTTCCTCTCACAAGCAAAATAATCTGTTCCTTTTGTATCTTGCCTTTCACATCATCGGGACAAAAAAGCAAAACAGAATTTACAATCATGGATTATCAGAATCCACAGTCCATCTGCTTGGTTTAACTACAACAGAATGTGTGCATGTGCATTCATAGAGCTGGGTGTCATTAGACCAATGATGTTAATCAATGTATAAAAGCCAGATCAGACCAGTAATAAAGTTTGTGCTTCATTATGGGTGTTGAAATCCTGGTTGAAAAAATTTATTCAGAAGTATTAAGCTTCACAAATTTTACAGTCAAACCCATCTCAAGTGAACATTGAGGAATCAGCTATTTAGAAGGCTACAGCCTCCAAGATTGAAACCTGAACAGACATTTACTATATAAATTTACAGAATTAGAAAAACTGGACATGTTAAAATAGATCAGTATATTCATGGCTGTAAAATTATTGGATTCATGTCTCATCACATTTACATTGTGGAACTGAATATAGTATGATTAGGCATTATTTTAACAACTACATTACAATACAATTTAAAATAAAATGGCCCTTCATATCACACTAATATCAGTGTTTTAAATAACAAAGGGGATTTTTTTTAAATAAAGGAAAGGATTAGCATTTAGTTTCAATCAGGATAAGCAACACTATACCAGTTGGAGTCTCAGAGATTCAGGATTTTATTAATATTCCAGAGATGCATTTGTGTTGCCTCTGGGTACACTGAAAAGCCACTTAAACTGCACTTAAAGCAGCACTACAGGATCAAATTGATGTGCATCAACCATTTACAATAAAACTTGATTATTATAAAGGCATACATATTTGCATAATTACATGTTTGATTTTTTGATAATGCAGCATACACTACAAAATGTTGCCTCATGTAGAAAGACATCATCAAAAAGCACCATCTGCTGTAGCGTTTAATGCACTGCAGTGTTTGAAAAATTCTGAAGGTAGATTTCTGAAGATCAAAAAGGAAAACGAGTTTTGTTTGAACAGGAGGTATAGTGCTGGAGGCTGGAACATGGTGGAGATCGGGCTTTTTGTTTAGTTTGTTTTAAACAACATTTTCAGAAAAAGAGAGGACAAAAAAGCAGCCTGAAAATTTGGGCTTCAGCAACAGAGTGCATTTGTGTGAAAACATCAAACATGTATTAGATATGCTAAATGTAATAAAGTGGTTGTGTGTGGAAGTAAAGCAATGCAGGTTAATTGCTTTGGAGGTTGATTACCTTTGCTGAAGAAACATTGAGCATCACAGTGACTTAAAATATATCACATAGAAATAGAGATGGAGACGAAAAAAAATATTTACCTTTACTCAAAACAAAGGAAAAACCACCAGCTTCTGCCCACTGATCTATACATGAATAATAGCATAGCTGGTAAATAGTGCATAAATTACAAAAGCCTGACCCTAAAATCAGTAAGTAAAAGCATCTTACAAAAAAATTGAATAATCTATGAGTGAGAAGCATGAAGAAGTTTCAGTGGTACACTGTAGCTCCATGGGATCCTGATGTCCTAAACACTGTGCCTTAGGAACTTCAGACAGGACTACATTAATGAGAACTAGGTACCTGTTAGTTTGCACTACAAGCATCCACACAGGGGAGTTACAGCACAACACTTTGGCACGCTGCAATTCACACACCCCTAGTCTGAACTATGGGATTGTGTAGACAAGCCTGAAGTGCACTAAGCCTTAGGACACTTCGGGTATGTCTACACTACGAAATTAGGTGGAATTTATAGAAGTCGTTTTTTTAGAAATCAGTTTTATATATTCGAGTGTGTGTGTCCCCACAGAAAATGCTCTAAGTGCATTAAGTGCATTAACTCGGCAGAGTGCTTCCACAGTACCGAGGCTAGAGTTGACTTCCGGAGTGTTGCACTGTGGATAGCTATCCCACAGTTCCCACAGTCTCCGCTGCCCATTGGAATTCTGGGTTGAGATCCCAATGCCTGATGGGGCTAAAACATTGCCGCGGGTGGTTCTGGGTACATATCGTCAGGCCCCCGTTCCCTCCCTCCCTCCATGAAAGCAAGGGCAGACAATCCTTTCGCGCCTTTTTTCCTGAGTTACCTGAGTTAACTTAGGTGCACCATTTCTTATTGGAACCCTCCGTGAAGTCCTGCCTGAAATACTCCTTGATGTAAAGCCACCCCCTTTGTTGATTTTAGCTCCCTGAAGCCAACCCTGTAAGCCATGTCGTCAGTTGCCCCTCCCTCCGTCAGAGCAACGGCAGAAAATCGTTCCGCGCCTTTTTTCTGTGCGGACGCCATACCAAGGCAAGCATGGATGCCCTCAACTCACTTTGGCAATTAGGAGCACATTAAACACCACATGCATTATCCAGCAGTATATGCAGCGCCAGAACCTGGCAGAGCGATAACGGGCGAGTAGGTGACGTCAGCGCGGTCGCGTGAGTGATCAGGACATGGACACAGATTTCTCTGAAAGCATAGGTCCTGCCAATGCATGCATCATGGTGTTAATGAGGCAGGTTCATGCTGTGGAACGCCAATTCTGGGCTCAGGAAACAAGCACAGACTGGTGGGACTGCATAGTGTTGCAGGTCTGGGACGATTCCCAGTGGCTACGAAACTTTCGCATGCGTAAGGGCACTTTCATGGAACTTTGTGACTTGCTTTACCCTGCCCTGAAGCGCATGAATACCAAGATGAGAGCAGCCCTCACAGTTGAGAAGCGAGTGGCGATAGCCCTGTGGAAGCTTGCAACGCCAGACAGCTACCGGTCAGTTGGGAATCAATTTGGAGTGGGCAAATCTACTGTGGGGGCTGCTGTGATGCAAGTAGCCCATGCAATCAAAGATCTGCTGATATCAAGGGTAGTGACCCTGGGAAATGTGCAGGTCATAGTGGATGGCTTTGCTGCAATGGGATTCCCTAACTGTGGTGGGGCCATAGATGGAACCATATCCCTATCTTGGCACTGGAGCACCAAGCCGGTGAGTATATAAACCGCAAGGGGTACTTTTCAATAGTGCTGCAAGCTCTGGTGGATCACAAGGGACGTTTCACCAACATCAACGTGGGATGGCCAGGAAAGGTACATGATACTCACATCTTCAGGAACTCTGGTCTGTTTCAAAAGCTGCAGGAAGGGACTTTATTCCCAGACCAGAAAATAACTGTTGGGGATGTTGAAATGCCTATAGCTATCCTTGGGTACCCAGCCTACCCCTTAATGCAATGGCTCATGAAGCCATACACAGGCAGCCTGGACAGTAGTCAGGAGCTGTTCAACTACAGGCTGAACAACTGCAGAATGGTGGTAGAATGTGCATTTGGACGTTTAAAGGCGCGCTGGCGCAGTTTACTGACTCGCTTAGACCTCAGCAAAACCAATATTCCCACTGTTATTACTGCTTGCTGTGTGCTCCAAAATATCTATATGAGAGTGAGGGAGAGACGTTTATGGCGCGGTGGGAGGCTGAGGCAAATCGCCTGGCTGCTGGTTATGCGCAGCCAGACACCAGAGCGGTTAGAAGAGCACAGGAGGGCGTGGTACGCATCAGAGAAGCTTTGAAAACCAGTTTCATGGCTGGCCAGGCTGCAGTGTGAAAGTTCTCTTTGTTTCCCCTTGATGAAACCCCCCGACTCTACTTCCCTGTAAGCTAACCACCCTCCCCTCCTCCCTTCGATCACTGCTTGCAGAGGCAATAAAGTCATTGTTGCTTCACATTCATGCATTCTTTATTCATTCATCACACAAATAGGGGGATGACTACCAAGGTAGCCCAGGAGGGGTGGTGGAGGAGGGAAGGAAAATGCCACACAGCACTTTAAGCACAGCACTTTAAAAGTTTACAACTTTAAAATTTATCGAATGACAGCCTTCTTTTTTTTTGGGCAATCCTCTGTGGTGGAGTGGCTGGTTGGCTGGTGGCCCCCCCACTGCGTTCTTGGGCATCTGGGTGTGGAGGCTATGGAACTTGGGGAGGAGGGTGGTTGGTTACACAGGGGCTGTAGTGGCAGTCTGTGCTCCAGCTGCCTTTGCTGCAGCTCAGCCATACACTGGAGCATACTGGTTTGATCCTCCAGCAGCCTCAGCATTGAATCCTGCCTCCTCTCATCATGCTGCCGCCACATTTGAGCTTCAGCCCTGTCTTCAGCCCACCACTTACTCTCTTCAGCCCGCCACCTCTCCTCCCGGTCATTTTGTGCTTTCCTGCACTCTGACATTATTTGCCTCCACGCATTCGTCTGTGCACTGTCAGTGTGGGAGGACAGCATGAGCTCAGAGAACATTTCATCACGAGTGCGTTTTTTTTTCTTTCTAATCCTCACTAGCCTCTGGGAAGGAGAAGATCCTGTGATCATTGAAACACATGCAGCTGGTGGAGAAAAAAAAAGGGACAGCGGTATTTAAAAAGACACATTTCATAAAACAGTGGCTACAGTCTTTCAGGGTAGACCTTGCTGTTAACATTACATACATAGCACATGTGCTTTCGTTACAAGGTTGCATTTTGCCTCCCCCCACCGCGTGGCTACCTCCTCAACCCTACCCCCTCCCCGTGACTAACAGCGGGGAACATTTCTGTTCAGCCGCAGGCAAACAGCCCAGCAGGAACAGGCTCCTCTGAGTGTCCCCTGAAGAAAAGCACCCTATTTCAACCAGGTGACCATGAATTATATCTCACTCTCCTGAGGATAACACAGAGAGATAAAGAACGGATGTTGTTTGAACACCAGCAAACATACACTGCAATGCTTTGTTGTACAATGATTCCTGAGTACGTGTTACTGGCCTGGAATGGTAAAGGGTCCTACCATGGAGGACGCAATAAGGCTGCCCTCCCCAGAAACCTTTTGCAAAGGCTTTGGGAGTACATCCAGGAGAGCCGCGAATGCCAGGGCAAATTAATCCTTTCACATGCTCGCTTTTAAACCATGTATAGTATTTTAAAAAGTACACTCACCGGAGGTCCCTTCTCCGCCTGCCGGGTCCAGGAGGCAGCCTTGGATGGGTTCGGGGGGTACTGGCTCCAGGTCCAGGGTGAGAAACAGTTCCTGGCTGTCGGGAAAACCGGTTTCTCCACTTGCTTGCTGTGAGCT